CTCTAACCATTCAGCCACTAGATTCTCTACACCTGACCGCTGTCTCTGGGCACTGCTGCATTGCAATCAATATAGATGCTAATAATGAACAACTCTCAGATAATTCCTGGCTGAAGTGTATGTAGTCAAACCTTCCAGTGATCCTTTGCCAATGATCAATACATGTAGAAAAATCAGCTCAGGAATTTGAAGAGACAAAAACAAAGCAGGAAAGAGGTTATTCCATACTGAATAATTTATGGCCACCAACCAGCCTTTGCTCTGTGAAAGCTGTGCTGGGAGGAAGCAGCTACAGCTCTGAGCCACGAAAGGAGCAGGGGGTGTCGAAGCAAAACAAAGAAGAAGCGGCCTCAGCATTTCACGTTGCTGGAGCAAAACATCCCCAAACCCACCCCGACACTGAAGCCTGCCCTGCTGCAAGCTCAGTAAGATGGGAGAAGACAACTTTAAGGCTGGCCTAGAGCACAGCAAAGCTTTGCTGCTTCAGGAGGTTGCACGGCAGAGCAGGAGGGATAAGAAATCCGCGTGCGTGGGCTGCCCCTTCCATGGGGACACAGCTTTAGCTTCGGCCCCTCACGCATCCCCCAGCTCTCTGCCTACCAGCCCCTGCCCAAAGCCATGGCTAGAGGCAACCCTCTAGGCTTTAAGGAAGAACCCAAGGTTAACTATCAGCACAGCTCAGGATTAATAACACGTGTCCTGCTAAGCCTCCTGCTCACTCGTGGTTGGGCGAAGGCTTATCTCGCCACCGCTCGGGGCCACCGCCAATGCTGTACCAGCTGCAGCATCACCGAGAGATCCTCAAAGCACCAACCAGGATTCCTGGTACCATTCAGTCTTCCCCTTGGGCAGGACCCCTTTCTCAACGAGCTGCAGGAAGGTCCCAGTCAGCTCTGGGCTCAGTCTCCAGAGAGACAGAGGGGACCCGGCCATGGCCCCACGCCCTGCCCTGTGCTCGCCCCAGCCCCATCAGTGTGGAGCTGGGCCCACGGCGTGGTATCCAGCATTTAAAATGCCATCAAAGCCAGGCACAGGACACACACTCAGGGAGGTGGGGACGGTTTCTATCAGTGGGACAGAGCGAAGCTCAAGAAGTGCAGCGCCAGCCCGGCTCGCTTGCTCCTACAGAGCGGAAGAGATGGAGCTGCCATTCCCAGGGGACACGTCCATATCCAGCTCCGAAGAGGTCACGTCACTGCCAACGGATGAGCAGAGCTCCTGCACTTCTGAGGAAGGCAAAATCCTGCAGGCAGCAACGCAGCTCTCTCCAGACCCTCTCTGAAGGAAATAGATGCTGCAAGCCCCCCTGCCAGCAACTTCCCTTTATCGAACGACCACCGTGAGGGTCCTCCTTAAACACACACAGGCAGGAGCCACACGCCACCACCACAACCCTCCCAGCCATTAACTTCTTTCAGCCTCGAGTACAGGGATACTATTTAGCCCGTCAGTTCAGCTCAGCACACCACGCAGAGATCGTGTGATGCACGCCCGCCTCTTCGAGAAGCTGCTGCTTTTTGCATTAGGACCAGGATTATTTTTTTGAGTTAATTAGTCAGGAGCTAATTCCGTTCATTAATTCTGAATGCCGCAGGGGCTGGGCTGATTTTTTTGTTTGTTTTGGGTTTTCCCCAGGATTGTTGTTTTTCTTTCACTCCCTTTTCAGCACGTCTCATTATGCAGCCAGTGCTGGCTTAGCATCACCCAAAACCTGCCCAGTCCCCGAGGCAGCTTCAGGCTTTTCTTGACCTACAACCCATCCTAAGCTGCATTTTCCCTGGCATTTGCCCTGCACTGGAGGTGTCACACAGGAGGCGAGAAAACCTTGTGGGGTGACAGGAGGCAGCAGTGTCAGCCCAGTAACCACAGAGAGAAAGGCAGCACGCTGTTATCTTCTCCCTCTTACTTTTCCCATCTAATATTGGTCCCTCTTGGAGACAGGGTGCTGGCTAGATACGCTTGTCGGGTGGCCCAGTGTAGCTGTTTCACACTCTCACTCTGCATCACCCCACATCCCACTGCAGAGAGAGCCCACCCCTCGGTGGGAAATGCCTCATCAGCGGCCAGTTCCCCCACAGGTCCCCAGGCCACCACCAGCACCTTCTGAGGAGGGACTCCGTGGTGGCTGCCACGTCCCCTGCAAGGGATGCAGATTATTTTTGGCAGCTGCCTGCCCGGCAGCAGAGCAGGAAGGGAGGGAGGGAAGGAAGGAGGGGAGGAAGGAAGGAAGAGAGCAGATTCACTGCTCCAACAACTCTGGCAAATCCATGGACAAGATGCAGGTGGGGGAAAAGCCACCCCCAAGCCTCTGCAGATCTCGTGCTTTCACCCAAGAACCCGATGCCACCCAACCACAGGCCAGGGGGAACAGATGGAGCTGTGCACCCGTAGCACTGCAGCACCCACCTCTGCAGCTCCTTCAGGGAGACCGTGACCCTCAGGCTGTGTCCCAGGAGGAAGAGGGCAGCCAGGATGTCAGCCCACTGCACCATCTCGCCCAGCGGACCCCCCTTCAGCACCCGTGGACTGAAAACGTCCCCCGACTCCTCCGTCAGGAAGCCAATCTGGATCAAGATCTGGAGAGACAAGAAGAAGGGTCAGTGGCGGGGAAAAGGAACCAAGGCTCAAAGTGACTTATGGTCCCTGATCCCCTCCAGCTCCTTTTGCATGCTGTAATTACTCATGGAAGTCAGTCGGCTGTAAAGACAAGGGGTCTGTGTCCAAAAAATAAAGACCCAATAGTCAAGAGTTCACCGGCTCCCATCAGCTGATGCTCTGTATCTTGGGACCAGGTCTCTTTTCCCAATGTATATCACAGTCCATCCCATGGACCAGAGCCTGATCTCCCGGCTCACAGGGACCAAAGGGCAGGAACAGGAGGGCCAGTGACCTCGGCACCTCCGCAGAGGAGATGTGCCAGATGTCCTGCCTGCTGCTGAGGGCTGTCTGCCACCAGGACCCACCTCCAAAATTCAGCCCATTACTCAGCATCACCAGTCCTGAGACACTCCAAATACCCAGGGACCACAGACCAACCCTGCAGACCCTAGTGCTCCCATAAATGAATTTTCCTCCCAGTAGTCTTCACTCCCTGTGTCTCCAAGGGCTCAACTTGTCCATCTCTCCTCTCCAACCCCCTCCCTGGCCCCGTGCAATTTGCTCGTACTTGTTTCTGGTCCCTTTGCCGGCCCTTCAGCTTCTGCTCGAGCCGCCGAGCCGCCCGCAGCCACTGCTGGGCCAAGTGCCGGATCCTCTTCTTCATGAAGCTGAGGGACTCCTTGCCCGTGCCGATCAGCTCCAGCAGGGGAGCCAGGTCACTCTGGAAAGCTGCCTAGGAAAGGAGCACACTCTGCGTTTGGAGTGTAGG